CAGATCGAGAGTTAGGAGGGCGGGGGGCAGACAGTTGGGACTGTTCAAGGCTATTTACTTTAGCCTGCAGCTCTTGGTTCCGCTGCTCAAGTGTTGTCACACGGGACTCGAGATCTTCCAAGTTCCGCAGTCGGACCAAGGCTGTGACGGCAGCAGCTAGCCTCTCCTGGAACCGGTCAGCATTGGCTTCCAGAACCTGTAGGAGGGCCTCCTGCGCAGCTATACTCGTAGCTCTAGCTGCTGTCTCCGCCTCCCTTTCCCTCTGTACGGCATCATCATACAGTTTTTGAAAGAACGGTTTCTGACTCTCGTCACCTGCGTCCAGCATGGCATGCCATTGGTCAGATGTGATGACCGCCATGCTGGAGGAAGGAATGTCAGTAGTGCTCTCAAGAGGGGTCCGCTCTCTCCTTACATTTGGACGAACACTCCTCTTGCCCCTCCTCACACTCACACCCTCACTCTCCCTTTCCTCTCTTTTCGCTGTCTGAGCACGCGTCTCAACACCGGACATAGATAGTTCAGGCCAAAGAAACAAACAGAAAACCACTCAGAGAAGAAGGTAGAACTCCTAGCCGGACCGGCGAATCATTTGGACTGAGAACGTGGCACGCAGCAGAAGAAAAAAAAATAATAATAATAATAATAATAATAATAAAACAACAGAGAGGTCTGATTTATAGAACGGGACCGATCAGATCAGCCGGAGATCCCCTCTTGTCTAACCTGACAGAGGACGTGTCATCACAATAAATCAGACGAAGAAGACTAACTGTAGCAATGGAGATTTTGAGGGGTGCCGATGGTCGTCGAGTCAAACGTGGGGCAGTATGTGATCACACGCGGTAAGACCAGTCAAGATCCCCTTGAAAGGAATGCCCTTGCTGTCCGTGTGTCCCCCAGATTCAGCACAGCAAAGTAATGCACTAACGGCAGCAAATCTGGGCCCGAAGGTCCTGTCCCGTTGGGCCTGGTCCCACTGGGTCCCAAGTGGTCCCGAGTAGGCTGTGGACCAGGTCTAACGAGACAGGGGTACCAAGTCAGACCCAAACTGTCTCTACCGTACTTTCAGCAAGAACTTCCCCCTACTACCGTTCAGAAGTGAAAAGACAATGCATTGTAGAAAGATAAGTCGTTTAGAACAAGATACATCATCCGTTCATCCATCAGGTGAGAAAGCAATCCACATGCTCAACACACACAACCAAGACTGCAGAGAAGGGGAAGAGATCCCAGCACACCCCCAACAGGTC